TCTTGCCTGCTCCCCTCAGCAGTGTATTTTGGTCCATCTGCCTGTTCTGTTCCCCACTCTGTCTCTGGTGAATCCTCTCACGCCCGCATCTCTGGCCTATACCCCAGTTCTTGTATGAATAAATAAATAAATCTTAAAGAGAAAATTCTAGTTCAGTGTATTTATGGAAATGTCTAATAAGAATATTGTGGCCAGAGAATGAAAACAAAACAAAAATATAAGTACAGTTATAGCATGAAACTAATTCCTAAATTTGTTGTAAAATAATTTACACATCTAAAGTACATAATACATGTGGCATATAAAACAATACAGCCATCAATGCCAGTGATTTTGTATATGATAAAAGCAATTAAAATGAAATGTATTACATTTGTTTCAATTCAAATATAACCCACTATTTATTTTAGAAAATGGAATTTTAAATGCCATGGGTCAGCAAAAAAGGTGGTAAAACTGCAGTTTGGAGTGGGACTTGAAAGGCACACATGTTGGCATCATGGATGATAAGGTGGTATTATGAGGTCAGGGTGGCAGGCTGCTCAGCTGTTATACCACCTTGGTTCATCTTCTTGGGAACCAGCTGTTATAGGTTATGCTTCACACCCCTCTGTCCTCTGATCTCTCTACACTCTGAGGAGGTTTGGCATGGGTAGAGGGTGTCAGTGTGTATGCTCATGGCTCTAATGCCATCCTTTTGGATGGTTGGATCCAAATACCATGATTTACAGAGAATGGACCACAAGCCAGCCTCAGGTCTATGGCTTCCCTAACACAGTGACAAGTTTACTATTTATGCTGAGTTAAATTGAAGCATTATTTCGCAAGAGCAAAGAAAGTTTGGTCTCTAAGGTTGCACTCATATTTGCATAAAAACCCCACATAAAATTGGCTCCCTTCCTATCCAAATTTTACTCCATTTCCACATATTGGGTGATGGTTATTGATGATGGAAAACATCTATTAGTAAATGATTATGAAGTGCTTGGCTAATGAAGATGAAGACTAAATAGTCCTTTGGTAAGGGTGGGCCATGACAGTGCTGATAACCTGGGCCCCGATGGCCCTCTGTGAGGTCTCGCCTTGGCAAGCACACGCAGGATATGTGTTGCATGTGTCCCTCGCCAGCCAAGTTGATTGGATGCACCTCAGGTGTTGCGCATAATGGAGATTGCAGAACCCAGAAAATGCACAGTTCTTGGCTGCTCTCTGAAAACCAATCTCATTGTAGTGGGGTGAACTAGCCTGTTGATGCGGTTTTTTTTTTTTTTTTTTTTTACTAGCTTTCCAGATGGGAATGAGGTAGTTTGTGCTTTGTAGGAAGACATAATTTTATTTATTTATTTATGTATTTTTTATTTGCATTAATAGCATGCTGCATTTGGGATGATGATTCAGGAATTGTTGGAGAAATGGTAATGCTTTGGTTTTTGTTGTTGTTTAAATACTAAAAATAAGAGGGAAAAACTGGCAGAAATCCAGCTCCCAAAGATCTTGTATCATTCTAAGCATTAAACATAAGGAAGGTCAATATATCCCTGGCCAGGGAGCTGACCCACATGGCACAGTAGACCTCTCCTGTCTCACCCGCTGCTCCCCTCAGCAGTGCATTTCAGCCATTCCGCCTGTTCTGCTCCCCACTCTGTTTCTGGTGAATCTCTCACCCCCCCACCTCTGCCTGTACCCCAGTTCTTGTATGCATAAATAAATAATTATTTTAAAAGTATTAATACATTCATCTTAAATATTATTTTTGTCAAACATGTATCTCCTGAAATTTCCCAGATTAGCCTTCACTATATTAGTTTTATCACAGCTACAAGAACAGAGTGATACCATTTCTACTTCCCTTAGGCAGTTCTCGGAAAACATAATTTTAAAGGTTTAAACACACTATTCATCAAACAGGTACTGTATGCCCATGTTCACAGCAGCACTGTTAACAAAAGCCAAAAGGTTTCACGTGTCTCTTGACAGATGAATGGATAAGCAAGATGTGGCATGAATCCACAACGGAATAATATTCAGCCTTAAAAACATGACACATGCTACAGCACAGATGAATCAGACAACATTTGAAACATCAGATACAAGTGAAATAGCCAGACACAAAAGGACAGATACTGGTCATGATGGTTGCATAATAATGTGAATGTATTTAATGTACTGAACTGCACACTTAAAAATAGTTAAGAGGATAAATTAAATGTTATGTACATTTTACCATAAAAAATGTACAAACACAGGTACCACTACTTGAGTGTTCTTTTATGATTCCGTTCAAAGTTAGGAAGGCCAGTTTGAGCCTCACTTTCCCTTTGCCTCTGGGTGGCTCAGGTGCCCCTGGGCCAGCTTTGAACTAGTCTTTGTACAGGAACTAAGTCAAGGGCGGGTGACTCTGATCTCACCTTGCCCATGGCCAGATGACTAACTGGAAGTCAGCTGTTCACATTGCAGGGAGTGATGAGAAAGGAAGTTTGTGGGGCTGGGGTGGAAAGAAATACCTATAAGTTCATAAGGAAGAACTTAATTGATAATTAAAGAAATATGAAATATGAAAGCACTCATAAGCACAACCATGACAGGTGATCTTGGGAAGGACTGGAGGTGATCCTTATAGACCTCAAAGGGAGTTCTCTTGGAAGGCTTTGCGAGGAACCTGAAATCATGGGTAAGCTGCAACCACAGAAGGAGGTGAGGGTGTGACTTGTGATGCTTAGCATGGTTTGCTCCAGGGCAGAGCTGAAGCGGCCAGGCCTGGGAGCAGTGAGTGCCACGCTTCCTGTTTATTTATCTCCCCTTGAATTTCGATTTATTTTCCTAAAAGAACTTGGCCTGCAGTTAACTATGTGTGAACTGGAAAATTTATGTCTGCATTTGTTGTTCTTCCCTTACTACTCAGAAACCTCTGGAAATTCGTTTCCTAATGGTTGGAGAGCAGAGGTAAAGTTATCACTTTGGTTGCCAAATGACTTCGGTAGAAATCTGAACTTGCTGTTCTGCTCTCAAAGGAAGTGCAGCAAACACCGAGGTGCTGAGGGCTCCTGGCAGGGTGCTGTGGAAAGTGCAGGGAAACACCTGGCACAGGGCACCGGGGTTTGCTGTTGCCCTAGGTAGTGAGGCAGGAAAGGGGGAGAAACTGACATAGCTGCTCTAACCTTCCAGACCACGCGCCTCACCTCCTGGTGTCTCTGGCTGCTTAGGATTCCATACACAGTCCTTTGCTGAACTCAATCAAAACCAGTTTTTTATTATTCCTCTTTGCTCCACTGGCCTCCATCTCCTGGCAGGTGAAAATGAGTTTCATTTAAAAATGTTTCCCTTGGAATTTTCATTTCGGGTGCCAGCAAGACTGGACCACAAACTACCCAAGAAAAGAGTATGCAAAAGACATGAGTAGGAATTTCATAGAAAAGAAAATACGTGTGGCCTATAGACATATTAAGAAATAGCCAATGCTCTGAGAGGTCAATGAAATGCAGATCAAATCCACCGTAACACTGTTTTATATACATTCAATTGGCAAAAATAAAGAGGACTGACAATACTAAATGCTGGAGAGGGTGCAGATCTGAAGGACCTCTATGTGATAGGTAATTGCTTTAGGGAGTGTAAATAGGCTCAATCACCTTGAAAATTTGATTGGCGTTATTTCCTAGAAAGGGACATTTAGAAAACTTATACTGAGTATTTCCACCGTGGTATATAACAAAAACCCATTCTGGCATTATTATGAAAACAACAACAACAGGCACGCACAAGACTGATCAGACAGTGCTGTTCTCAACAGCACAAAACTGGAAACACCGGGGGAGTGGGTGAATAAAGGTAGCAGTCAAATGCATGAACTGAACAGAGGAATAAAAATGTGAATGAATCGAACTGAGGAAATAAGTTCCAAAAGATTACAAACAGCCTTATAATCTTTAAAAAAAGAAAAACAAGTGAAATGTCAGTTTATACTTAAAAATATGCATATAGAGTCAGTACAACTATTTACCAAGGTAAGCAATAGTATGATGAACAAGGGTTCAGCTGAACTGGAAAGGGTCTGGGACGTATCATGTGTTAGATGAAGGCTGCTGTCTGGTTGCTTGCTTTTATTTTTAAGTGGTGGCTTTGAGGTTGCTTATTCCACTGTTAAAATAACTAACCTAATAGCAACATGTGCATGAGTCAATGAGTAGAGGGGTTTATAAACCAAGATTAAAAATCGTTTATAATTTGATACTATGCTTCTGAGGTCCCCTTGTCCCTCAACCTCTCAGGAAACCAAAGAAGCCTCATTTACAGGTGAACAGCACAGGGGTCCCTCCACTGGGTGGGTTTCAACCTCTTAGAGACCTTTCTGGTTGCCTGGGGATATCTGGACATTCTTTTCAAGATTCACTTCTTTTTGTTCCAGGCACCCTTATCTACTATCTACATGCAAATAATGTTATGGAAGGGCCAGAAGAGTATGATTTATTCTTAAATGTGTGTTTTTAGAACAATTCAACTATCTTTCCTTATCTCTCTCTCTAGATTAATTTCATTCTTTGTAACAACTGCATAGATTTATCTGGATCATAATTTCTTTAACTACTCTTTCAATGATCACATTGAGAATGTTTCTAGTTTTTGCTTTTACGAAAAGTTACTACAGTAAAGGAAATACTGTAGGGAATATTTGTATATACTTAAGTGAGTATGTTGGTAGAGTGAATTTCTAGAAGAATTGCTGAGTTAAAAGATATACATATTTATATTTTGGTAGCCATTGCCAAATTGCCTCCAGAATAGTTCTACCTGTTTCCAGATCCAGCAAAATTGTGTCATAGTGGGTGTGACTGACTGTTAGGGAGTCACATTTTAATGCCTTCCTTTATTCCCGCCCCCCCCCCCCCCCACCGAGCTGGCTAGGGAGGAAGAATGTTCTTTGACCAGGGATTCTGGGAGGGGCAATGTTCACCTCTGACCTTTAACCTCTCCCCTCTGTGTCCTAGTTGTTAGGGCACAGGCTGGCTGCTTCCCTTTGGCAACAGTAGGGGCACTGTCTTCCCTCTGGCTTCCCATAGTCCTTGCGCCTGCCCACAAGCTTCAACTCTGGGAAGGAGAGCACTTCTCCTCACCTGCCTCAGGTGGATGCTCTTAGGATTTGTGAAAATCCCTTTGGAACAAAAGGTACACACACACACACACACTATATATATATATATATATATATAGTTTCCCTAGTACCTGTTTCTCTCTCTCTATATATATATAGTCTGTGTACCTTTATATATAATATAATATAATATAATATAATATAATATAATATAATATAATATAATATAATATAATAAATCCACTTTAAAAGTACAACTCCATAGATAATCACGCTGGAGAGATGCCAGGAGAGAACATTTATAATGTCAATAAAAACTTTGCCGTCTCTTACTCAGAAATTTGACATTTCTCCTTTTGGATTGAGATGTCCCAAGGTTTCGCTTGAAGGCCACTTTCCACGCACAGCTCACATTCTTTGTTTGGCTGTGTTTGCAGTGTGATGTCAGAAAACAAAACCTTTCCCCTGTCCCAACTTTTACTAGTGTCATCGAGTCATTTAACATGCAGATCTCTCTCAGGTAGCATTTTGTTAAGATCTCTGTGCAAACATCTCTGTGTTGTCTAACCACTGGCAGCGACCCCACCTGATGGATCCACCTGGATCTCGGGAAGGTGCTTACTTCTTCTGGGCCCAGGTTCCCACACTAGGCCCTTGTGGGTTTGAAAGCAGGAGTGCACCTACTCATTGCCCCTGTCTCTTGAAAGCCTCCAACTTGGGACAGCTGGTGCTTGGCTCTAGTTTTGTTCTTTCAAAATAGAGTGAATAGAAAACATAGTACTTTTTTTCCTGCTGGTGAATGCAAATATAATACCCAAAGTTGGGAGGTAGCGATGTAAGCTATTTGGCACCACATAACCCTTAGCAAGTTTGACCCTCAGGCCTCTGGGCTGTGCAGGGGTGTCTCAGGCCTGCCTGGGCCCTGGTGTGCTCACTTCCTGAATCACTACCAGCCACTAGCAGGCTGCTTCAGAGGTCAATTACAACCAAAGCCAGGGTTTGATATCCACTTTTCTAAGTCTCCTTGGTGGAGGCAGTGTGACGTGAGAGTTTTGATAGAGACCTGAATTATATAGTTATTTAATCCAGACTGTCAGCTTTTCTAGCTGTGACTAGAATTTATCTGGTGTTTGTTCTGATGTGAGCATAACCGTCAAACATGACTAGAATAATTCTATAGAATAGCAAAAATTTTGAATAACATTAAGAATGTAAGCTTGATGATATGATTAATTTTTACATTTAATACTGTAAGTATATAACTATATATGTTATATAGTTATAAGTATATCATTATATATAAGTATATATAGTTATATATACTTATATAAGTATATATAGTTATAAGTATGTAACTGGCATATGACATTATATCATTAAAGTGTGAAGGTTATAGTTTACAAGATGTAAGTTATAAGGATGTAATATAATACTGAATGCTTATTACTATGCCCCTGGTACCAGGAAGGCTTAGTATGTATTATTTCATTTAATCCACAGAAAAGTTCTATGATATAGGCGATAAAATTTACCCATTTTTCAGGTCATGCACATAATGAGAACAATAAGCATAAACACAACAAGCATAAACACAGTAATACAATAGGAATAATAATTATATTAAATTACATTCATTTACTGTTTGTTATTATTGTGGTCATAAAATTAAGTAACTTTACACACATTATTTCATTTATTCTCTCATCTTGTGAAGTAGGTATTATTTTCCCTGTATTCTAGATAAGGAAACTAAGCTAGAAATTAAATAATGTACCTAAGGCCACTGATCATTTAAAAGGTTAGGGCAGGATTTTGAAACATGTATACAGGTAAAGCCAAAGACTTCAGGCAGTTGAACAGCAAGAATTGTGTAATTCTTTTTAAGTAAAAAGAAATGATCTTGTTTCAATTTCTATTGTATTCATAAATATATAGGCAAAATAGTATGCAACTGAACATTTTATGTTCAAGGGAGCTATTGTATATCTGAAAGTGACTTATTGTAAATAATTTCTCATAGGAGCAATGTTGTTCTTGGTAGAGAATTTCACATTGAATAAATCAGACAGAAAATTAAAAATATGGTTGGAGGAACAGAACCAAATTATATAGTCAGAGGATTTTTGAACTCAAAAATTTTTAAGTGGCTTTAAAATAATTTTAAATTCAAAGGAACACTTTAGTCAGCAAAATCTTACTTATCCCATACATAAAACAGCTTAAAAACTAACCATACCATTTGTGCACGATAAGAGATTGTGTGTGTGTGTATATATAATATATATACTTCTTATGTATAAAAGATATACATTTATTATCTTGCATATAATACAATTGCTATACTTATATGCACACATAATTATACATATAAAATATATATGTAAAAATATACAATAATGATATGATTGTTATGCCTTGAGTGTCTAGGGAAAACCAAGAAAATGTCAGCAAATGGGTTGAGGTTGAGGGATCCTTACATGTCCCATTTGTTTATAATGTTTGAATTTTTAAACAGCAAACACACCTAAGCATGTCACATGAGGTTGTTCTGTGGCATCCTTTCAAGCTCCCTTCCCTACCCCTCTAAGCCCCACATGCCACGCGCCAGTCTTGGCAACTGGAAATATGCACTAAAACTTTGAAAGCTTCCCCTTTCCTGCTACTTACCACATGCTTTCCTGTGTGCTGAAGAGGCCTTCATTTTCTCATCTGAGAAATGAAAATACAAAACTAAGTGTTATTTGGGAACACTAAAGAGACTCAGTCTACAACAATAGAAATATTAGAGGAGTTGCAAATGTAAGTCATACATGTAATTAAAAAAATTTTTAGTGATTGCTTTAAAAATCAAGAGAAACAGGTAAAATTAATTTAATTGTAGAGCTTATTTAAGATATCTTACATATTATCATTTCATCGTGTAATCAGTATCAAAATGATTACTGAGATTGTCTACATTCTTTCCTTCAAGCTAAATTGTTGAAATCCTTTGTGTGTTTACTCCTGGAACATCTCAGTTTAACCATCTTCATTTCAATAACCACCTGAGATCAATAGCTATACACAGGTCTGTAACAATCTAGGCATATTCCCTGGATTTGAGCATACACTTAAAAAAAAATGCACTTAGGGCCTCCCCAGTGGCTCAGCGGTTGAGCACTGGGTTGTGAAGCTGCCCGCGGCCTCTGCAGCACCGGTTCAATCCTCGGCTGCTCCCCGGCTACCTGAGGAGGGTCCTACATGGCGCGCAGACCTCTCCTGCTGCCCGCTGCTCCCCTCAGCAGTGTACTTCGGTCCTTCTGCCTGCTCTGCTCCCTGCTCTGGCTCTGGTGAATTCTCTCACCCTCCCGCACTTCCGACTGTACCCAGTGCATGTATAAACAAAACAACCAACCAACCAACCAAATAAATAAATAAAAAACATGCCTCTACTAAAAAAAAAAAAAAAAAACTTTAAAAAAAATGTACTTAAAAAAAGGGACAATAGCGTACACTTAAAAAAAAGGGACAACAGCCATATAACCTTATAACAGTTTTAGGTGTATACTCTAATGATACAATAGTGGTGTACATTGTCACGTGATCACCACAAGAAGTTTAGTTAGCATCCATTACCTATCATAGCTACAATTTTTTTTGTGATCCAACTTTTAAGATCTACTCTTAGCAATTTAAGTATGCAATACAGTGTTATTAACTACAGCTACCATGCTGTACATTATATCCACATGACTTATTTATCTTACAGCTGGAAGTTAACAGTATCAGCTTAATAAATAATAGCTGTCATTAATTTTGTATCATTGCATATGCTTTTACACCTCCGCTTTCTCTGTGGAACTCTTGCCCAGCCAATTGGCCACATCCCTGGATAGGCCTTCTGGATGCATCCTGACCTGATTCCTCCTTCATTCTTTGTTTTCCTAGTAACTATCTCCAGTGTAGATTTTGTCTATCTCCATAGACTCTAAACTTTTTAAGAGTTATAATCCGGGCCTCCCCGGTGGCGCAGCGGTTGAGAGCTGGGTTGCGAAGCTGCCTGCGGCCTCTGCAGCGCCAGTTCGATCCCCGGCTGCTCCCCGGCCACCGGAGGAGGGTCCCACATGGCGCGCAGACCTCTCCTGCCGCCCGCTGCTCCCCTCAGCAGTGTACTTCGGTCCTTCTGCCTGCTCTGCTCCCCGCTCTGGCTCTGGTGAATTCTCTCACCCTCCCGCGCTTCTGACTGTACCCAGTGCATGTATAAACAAAACAAACAAACAAATAAATAAATAAAACATGCCTCTATAAAAAAAAAAGAGTTATAATCCACTTTTTGGTCTTTATAACCCTGGGACATGACTCTATGCTAGGCACAGGGGAGGGACTTAATAATTAGTCATTTGAATGACAAGGGGAATAGAGAAGTTATACGCCTACATCTTTGCTTTGATGACAGAGTGGCTGATTATGGGTTGTTTCTCTTTTGTCATTTAATTTTTAAATACTGGTTGGTAGAGCCAGCTCCTCCTTCCTTCTCAAGCTGCCTTTCAAGGTCATTTCCACAAGTTGGGCCTTGCTGCAGAAAAACAATGATAAGAAAAGCAAATGTATCAATTAAATAGTGGTCCCAGAGAGAAATCACAAAATGTAAGCAGGATCACCCCAATACACAAATTCTGTTACTTATATATTATAAACCAATGCAAAGAAAAACTACCCACCCTCCATTTCTTTCAGAGATTTGAGTAAGAAGTTTTGTGAAATGGCTCAGAAGACAAGAGCGCCCAGGAAAGCAGGGTGATATTTTACTGTGAGTATTCTTTTTGGGAACAGGCCTTTCTGCAAAGAGAATTTGGGGGTGGGGCCAGACATTTAGCTAGGCAACCTGGGGGAAGGCAGTTTTAGGAGTGGTGTTGCTGTCTCCTTTGCTCACATTCTCTTCATCCTGGCTCTGGGGTGCAATTCTCACACTCCTGCAATTCTACCTGATTTCGGTCTCCAAGAGTAAATTTGAGGTGAAGGTGAGAAGAGATACTGAGGCATCTTTACTCAGGGCTCATTTTTCACCTTTTGTCAAAGAGGTGTGTTAAGTTTGGCTGACAGAAGCCCTCGTGCACCCATGTCTCCTATAACTTTAAGAAACTGCAGAGTTTCTGCGTTTGATGTGTCTTAACTTTAACACAAAGCACACCAGGGCTGGTTAATGATCATGAACTGTCATGGCAGCCACTCTGCAAAGGTGACAGTGATGGATGGGCCTGTGGTGTGGAGGGAGACGGCAGGGTGCAGAGGCAGAAGGTTTATTTAAGCCAAGGCTGATAATAGAGGGCTCTCCTCAGTACCTGAGCAGCAGGACTTTAATGCAGAAATTTAAAAGAGAAGGAGAGCCCTTTTTCTTTTTTCTTTCTTTTTTTATTATAAATTTTATTTTTATATTCCCCACACAGTTGCGACCCCCTTATTTTGACCCCAATCCCTCCCCTCCCCGCCCTTTACCCCCCCCATAGAGTGTCTCTGGTTCATAGTTGTTTATTGATTTTGATTTTTACTTTCTTATAGTTATTCTTTTTCCTTGTCCCTTATTTAAGTTTTCTAGATTCCTGCTATGGGTGAGACCATCCAGTATTTTTCTTTTTCTTTCTGGCTTATTTCGCTGAGCATGATCCCTTCCAGCGCCATCCATGTAGCTGCAAATTGCATGTGTTTATCTTTTTTGAATGCTGAGTAATATTCCATTGTGTATATGTACCACATCTTCTTGATCCAGTCATCTATTTTTGGGCATTTGGGCTGTTTCCAAAGCTTAGTTATTGTAAACAGTGCTGCTATAAACATAGGGGTGCAGGTGACGAGAGCCCTTTTTCTGTGCTGCTCTCTGAAAGGACGGTGCTCATTCTACCAGTCTGCTCCACCAAATTAGAGCATTCCTTAGAGATTTAGATCTATTTGACATTTTCTGCTAGAACAGGGGAAAAAGCCATTTCTATAATGAACTTTACCATCTTTCTTCGTTTGGTCCTGCTTAACTAAAAGTCCATGTCTGCAACCTGAAAGAAATGATGTAGGGATGGGCCTGAGTAACAATGAATTCATAAGCTTACTCTCCTTGGAATAACCACCAAAATGTGAACAGGATTATGGAATTTTATATGTTAATTGGAATTCCTTACATGACTGATATGGGAAAATAAAATCTACTGAAAAAATTATTGAGTGAATTTTTTATACTCATATTTGGTTTTGGAGTTATTGATCATCACTTCATTCAGTGCCCAAACTAGGTACCACAGCTATATGTTTCTTTAGGTAAATATCAAGACAATCTCTATTATGTTAACATTAGTATTTCAGCTATTTTCATCATATCTTTACATGTATCTCTAGGTGTGTTTTGTCCCATCAGACAAGCTAAGCCATGATGCACCAGGATTAGAAGCAAAGTTTCCTTTCCTTTCAGATGTGACTGGATCTCTTTATGTGTCATTAAAATGAGTTCTAGGGAATAGCCTGACCAGAGACCCTTCCTTTGGAGATGCTAAATTCGGATCACCCTGGGACTTTTAATCTTTTAGGGAGAGACACACTATCAGGGTCCACTGATAATTCTGTGGTGTAAGGGTTAATGCCGGATGGAGACATTTAGTTGACTCCCCAATCACTAAATTCAGCAGCTCATGGCCTCTACTTGTTGCTGGACAGCATAAACATCAGGTTTTGGTAAATAAACTCAGGCTATCATGCAACTGTCCCACATGCACTTAAGCTGTGACTGACAGCTCACTTGGGAGGACTTGGAGTCTAGAGGCAAAGCTTTTGGGTGCAGAGGCTCTGAGGTTCCAAGATAAACAAATCTGTCGGTGAGAGTGACCAGAGTGTTAGGTCAGTCCAAGGGTCACTTATAGGTCATCCCACTGGGAGCTTGGTCTCTGCTTTGTGTTTATCCTGGGAGGGGAGAAGCAGGAGGGGCTGGGGGCAGAGGCTGGGTCTCTATTGGGAAAACATCCCAGGTCTGCTCATCAGAACCTTTGGAAGTGAATCAGTGCCCATCCCACTCTGAGTAATCCAGTAAAAGGTATGGGCACAGTCTTCTGTTTTTTATTGGTGTTAATGAGCAAGTTCTTTTGGAAATACGGACTGCAGAATGTGTATGGGGCTGGCTCACTGGGTTGTAAAATCATTCAAGGATTTTCAGAGGCCAGAGTAAGTCATTAGATTACTCTTATGAAATTGTGGCAGTTAAAATTAGAAAAGTCAGTGGGAGGAATGGAAAACTTTCCCTGTCTCTACCCCTCTTACTAATTTCCCTGGGAAATATTTCCTCAGTTTTAAAATTTTTACCAACAAGGAACTTTTAGGAGAATGATAGCAAATTTCCTCTTTTTCTGTGCTTGACTCTACAAGACTGATAGAGAAGTGAAAGCAGGGATAGGTATTACCACCTTTCCTAATTGATATTGAGCAAAATAACAACCCTCACCTTCCCATGAATCCCTCTTAGCCACCTTGCAGTTCTCTCTCATTTGGAGAACAATCTGGTTCGTGAAGAAGATATGACATCAAACAATGGATATTTAGAGCTGATTGCATGATTTGTTTCCATATTACAAATGACAAAGACTTTTAAATCCAAGTTTCAGTTGCTTGCTTTGGAGAATAACCTTTCAAATAAGAAGTCCAAAGGGGCTGGTGTCTTCAGATAAATTAGAAGCTGAAGTATTTCCAAATAAGCTCTTAGGGATAATGGCAAACCACTTTTAATTAAACTGAATTCATAAAATATTTATAATACTTATATGTTAAAGATGCATTTAAGGATATATCTAGAGATACATATATAAATATATAATTAAAAGAATTGAAATCCATCAGTATGTCTATGATAAAATGGAATTAAACTATAGGAATCAGTAGAGAAGGGACAATCTCTAAATATTTGGAAACTAAATATAAAGATGAAATACTTTTTTGAAAGTTACAAGGAAATAAACATGTATTAAGCTGAATCACAATAAAAATACAACATATCAAGATTTGTGGGACATTGCTAAAGCTGTACTGAGCGGGGCATTTATAACATTAAATGCTTATATTAGGAAAAAGAAAACTTTTCAAATCAATAATCTAGGATTCCACTGCAAGAAACCAGGAAAAGAAGAAAAAAAATTCACAAAAAGCTGAAAAGGGAAATAATAAAGTTAAAAGTGAAAAAAAAAATAGAGAAACTCATTGAAACAAAGAGTCTTTTTAAAACAAATCTGTCTTTTTAAAAAGATTGATATAATCGACAAGTCTTGGGCAAGAGAGATAATGAAGAGAAGTGAGAAGATACAAATTATCAATATAAAACAGGGGCTCTCACTACATACCCTAAAGACATCACAAAGATAATAGAATATTACTAACTCTACACTCATAAATTTAGACCTGTGAGGACTTAAATGAAGTGACCAATTCTTTGAAAAATACAACCACAAGTCATTCAACATGAAATGGATAACTTAAATAGTCCTATAATTATTAAGGAAATTGAATTAATAATTAATCCTCCTTTCAAAAATGAAATCTTCAGGCCTAAATGGTTTCATTGGAAAATTCCATCAAGTGTTATGCCAGAATCAAACCAATTTTATATAATTTCCTCCTGAAAATAGAAGAGGAAACACTTCCCAGTTCATTTTATGAAGCTGCTGCCAAAATCAAAGACAGTACAAAAAGAAAATTACAGACCAATATTCTTCATGAGTACAAATTCAAAAATTGTTAATAAAATAATAGCAAATAGAATTCAGCAATATGTGAAAATAATTATACATCATGACCAAATGATATTCATTCTAGGGATCAGGACTGGTTCAATATTTGAAAAATTGATACAATAAATATACATATAATAAAATTATATTGACTAAATTAAAAAAATCACATGATTAGATCAATCTATTTTATTGAATGAGCTCCACCCACTGATGTTTTGGACTCCACCTTGATGGTGGACTCCACCTCGGTGTCAAAGAGATCTCAGGCACCTGGAATTACAACTCCTGTCATGCCCTGAATCTGCCGTGACTCTTGACATCCTGAAAGGGGGATTCCTGGGAACTAAGGATGGAGCTAAGCGGTTATTCTTGGTATAAAACTGAATACATGTGAGCTTGGGCTCTCTTGCTTTTCCTGCTTTCAGCTTGCAATCAGGGTCTTAGCTCTGAGGGCATTACTGTAGGATGTATTGGTCAATTAATCTGTTTTCTCTCTTTTGATTTCCCTTGTAAATGAAACTTTCATTAACTTTTCTCTTCTGACTTATACCCAGGCCACCCTGTTTCTCCCTTGACTTGCCCTATAACATTTTAACAGAGTACTCAAAGTTCTAAAAGGCATTCATTTAAAAGACAAAAAAATTATCTATTAATGTTCCTATGAACAGGTAACACATGTCTACATAGAAATCCCAAAGGAATCTAAAAGTACATGTGATTTGGTAACATACATCTGAAGAAGTGTGAACCTGTGCCCACAAATTAATTGTATTTCCATATTAGCAATGAAAACATGGAGAAAAGAATATAACAGCATTTATAATCATTCAAAAAAAAAGAGAAATACTTTGGTGCAAATCTGACAAAACACATACAAGACCTATATAATAATAACCATGAAATGCTGATCAAGGAAATCAGACAAAGAAATCTAAATAAATGGAGAGGTATATCATACTCATGAATTGGAAGACTCAACATAATAATATCAATTCTCTCCAAATTGAAATTTAGATTTAATGAAGTTCCCTTTAAAGTTCTGGAAAGTTTTAAT